CATATCCAACCATGTGATGCTGGTATCGTTAGAAATTTTAAAGCAAATTATAAGAATGTTTTAATCCAAAAAATGATCCAGGATCTAGATGTTGGTAAAGAAATTAAAAAATAAATATAAAAGAAGCAATTGATATGCTTTCGGATGCTTGGGATTCTGTTAAACAATAAACTATTGCAAATTGTTGGAAACATACAAATATATTACCATTGACTAATACAATGGATGATACTATTATTACTGAATTGGAATAATCTCTTAAAACATTGAGCATTAGTATTTCTATAACAATGAAAGTAGAAGAATATATTAAAATCGATGATAATTTAACTACCTCTGAATTACCTACCAATGACGATATCCTAGAAGGAATTCTTCTTTGCTGAAGGTATTACAGATCCATCGCAAACATCAATAGGAGAAGATACAAGTGATGATGAAGAACCAAAAATCTCACATAAAGATGGGAAAAAGTCAATTGAGATCACAAAAAAGTTTTTAGAACAAAATGATTTTGCTATTAGGAAGATATTAAATATATTAATAATATAATAAAATATTTAAATGTATCTACAGATAGAAAAAAACATCAATCTCCAATTACTGTAAAATTAAATAATAAATAATAATGAATAAAACAATATAAATATTAATAAAATTTTAATAAATTATCATAAAAAAAAATACCAGGATTCTCGTAACGAAAAAGGGAAGGTATGACTGTAAATCTATTCTAAGGCAATACACGGTATGTTTTCAATCAAAAAATTTCTTCTGGAGAAGATCTTTCAATGCTATAGGAACCCTTAAGATGCTTTGAACCAACTTTCCTTCATGATTAATTTTTAGATCGAGATCTTGCATCAAAGAAATTTGATCCATAACTTCATTCTGAAAATCACAGAACACTGTTAGTGACCCAAAGAATGATAAGCAATATGTACAATTTTACTTACGTGAAAAATACTCATGAGAAATAGTATCTGTTTGTACTTTGCCCTAGCATCGAAGGAGAAGGGAAATAAAGTGGAGAATAACTCCGATGAAAGGAAGGATCCATCTTTCAACATATTTAGGGAATAAAATGTAATTCAATATTCTAATAACCAAGTACAATATAGAATCAGTAAATTGAATTATTATTTATAATAAATAGAAAATACCTATCAATAACTTGAAAACTGAACACTTTGATTCGTGTTGCAATTTCAATGGATAGATCAAGATGGTCGAGTAAGATGTTGATCAAATTTAGGATATCCATATCCAGGGATTTTTTAGTATTATCTGTACAATGTCATTTTGATGGTAATGAAGGT